GCTGTGGAGCTGCTCCACAGTTCTTGTATGCCGGCTGATTTTAAAAGTGTAATGCTGGAAGGAAACCTGCGGTGCTTCTTATATGAGCCAGAATACAGTGTGGAGGGGTTGTGACCTATAGAAGAGGAAGAGGCCGCACTGAGCCCATTGCATTCTGGGTGTTGGAGGTTTTCTACCACAGCCCTTTTTCTGTTTTCTCTGGTCATAGCACCAATTTAAATAATGTGTGTCGTGTGTGTGTCTCAGGACGTGGAGCTGATGAACAATGTGCAGAAGGCGATCCTGGAGATTCAGGGCGAGTGTGAGAAGCTGCATGAAACCACCAGAAGTCTGACTGACGACAGCAGACAGAAACAAAGCCACATAGAGGTGAACAAACAGTCATCTCTGTGTTTTCTCTCAAAGCTTTTCTTCCTTCATGTCTCAAAATGTTCAACACATGGAACTGACCGTCACAAATCAGTTCAAAGAAGATGCAGGACACCAGACAGGTTGAATGAGCAAAGACGAGTTTTAAAAACACAGAGGACAGACTAAACACACAAGGAACTCATTAACTAATGAAACACAGGCAGGAAGTAAAACAAGACAACTACGAACAAACCCCAGGACAGTAATCATACCTGTAGATGTTTGTTGTGATATCGATTCTGAAAATATGCACAAACTCTAGTTGTTGTGTTTATCATCAACTCATGACAGAATATTGTTGATTCACAGTCTTTTAGGGCTTTGACCCGTTAAGACGAAGGGATGTCTGCTGAGTTTGAGTCCTGGAGAAGTACAACTAGCCTCACTGAACTGAACTCACCATTCACTCCTCCTCTGTTCATGTCAGTCATATTACTGTTGTTTGTTTCCACAGGAGCTCTTCAAGACGACGGAGAAGCTGGAGGAGAAGAAGGCCGACAAGCAGATGGTCGAGAGTGGAATCGTAAGTAACTCACTAAAAGGGGCCAGAGGGCAAGTTAGAAGGTGAAGTCAGACACACACACACACACACACACAGACACACACACACACAGAGACACACACACACACAGACACACAGAGACACACGCGCACACACACACACACAGAGACACACGCACACACACACAGAGACACACCGAGAGGCTGCAGGCGAGATGAAGGAGGCCGTGTCTTCATCCTGCTTTTCCTAAACTTACTTCCTGTTGTCTTATGTCCTGTTGTCTTACTTCCTGTTGTCTCTTCCTGTTGTCTTACGTGCTGTTGTCTTACTTCCTGTTGTCTCTTCCTGTTGTCTTACGTCCTGTTGTCTTA